AAAATACCGTGTCACTCTCGTCGCTTCCCATGTAAATAGCGAATTCATGAATAACAATTGAATAAACACAAATATGTGAATTTGCACGCCAGGCTTTTGAATATAACGATTGTAAAAAGTTTCCTTGTGATCTATTAGCAATTTAAAAGATACCTAAACTGTAATACTGCCATATATTTAATCTCGCGTTTGTTATTTGCGCAGCAGCAGTTTTGCCGTGGAATTAAAATTGCGTGTCATATGATATTTTTAATAGGCAAATAGCGTTTGAGATATAGCAACATTAGCAAACAAATACATTGAAATCTTGGTTAGCACACAAACTTTTACCACTTTTAATGCAATATTACTAAACTGTAATACTGCCATATATATTTAATCTCGCGTTTGTTATTTGCGCAACAGCAGTTTTGCCGTGGAATTAAAATTGCGTGTCATATGATATTTTAATAGGCAAATAGCGTTTGAGATATAGGCCTAGCAATATTAGCAAACAAATACACTGAAATCTTGGTTAGCACACCAACTTTTACCACTTTTAATGCAATATTAGTCAACTTATAAGCGAACGTGAGACAAATTATGCTGAATTATTCGACTATATAACTCCTAAGACAGACAGACGCAATAATCCTTTATAGGTTTATTACAAATATGTAGACATTTGAGACCCCGTCAATGTCTGAAGAAAAGTTAAATAAACGAGTTCGATGCACAGTTTCTGGTCTTTTACCATAATTATCCAATGCTGGTTTTATTCGCTGCATTATAAACCTCCTCCACACAATACCCCTTCTTTAAAATACCAAACATTTCGAATGCAATTGAGATATGAAATCTCAACAAGAAGACAATTCAAGATGGCAAATCAGTCAAAAGTGCAAATCAAAACCCATATTTACACGGCGAGTACGCGCAATTTCTGATCGGTTTCGACACCATAGGTTGAAGCCATGAAGATAAACTTTATTTTAATTTTCTGGTTTAACAACCTCACTAGTACTGCGTCGTAACAACATCACTAGTATTGCCTCGAAATGCAAATGTGAAATGTCGGCAGAAAAATACGGGCGCTTCCGATTGCTCCCGATACTTTACGAAAATCCGGACAGGACACCATGATCATCATCGCTCATCGCGTTTGTGTATGTGTATGTGATAGTGGCTAGCCCGCAAACGGGCTAGCCACAAAAAACCTTATCCTTTGCTAAACTAGGAGCAAAAATATTAAACATATTGGAGACTGAGGATGATTATGTTGATAGACCTATGACAATTAAATTAATGACCAAACAATTGGCATCCACAAAAATATAATAACACATATTTATGTATACAGTATGTAGTTATATAACTAGTATGTAATTATTCTAGAGCAAGACTCGTTTCATATAATCTATGAAATAGGTTTTGCAATATTTCGAAATAATGGTATGCAATATTCTAGTGTATGGCATGGTTCGCAAACATGCATGTTGTACACTGGAAATAAGATCTATATTCATCTTTGACTATGCTCTACCAATTCACAAAATTATTTCTTCTACGCTATCCGCCTCGATTAGCATTTGCTATTTGCGGATTTAAGTGTACAGTTTTATTTTATCATAGTGAATAATTAATAAATGAATGAATGAGTGAACACGAAAATATTTGCATAGCGGGACTAAATTGTCGGGCTGGCTACTGATTGTACATACTGTAATTATTTGCATTCTAAAAACACTGGTTAAAATTTCCAGTTTACCCCAGTAATAATGCTATTTGAGTCAACTTACAGTAACATTCCTGGTTAAATTTCCTTTTATTCAACCATAATCTGGTTAATGTAACCAGGAATCTGGTTGTATTTGACTACTGGGATATCTTTGTTAAAATAACCAGGTTATGTCAGATGGATATCATGGATTGATAATCAGGACCCCCTGGTTATTTATGCAGCTAACATAGATGTCGGGTGTCGTCGAAAACGTTGGGTCGTGAATGCAATAGACCTTATGCACAATGACGTCACAAGGCTTGATGCCCGCGAGGAATGCTGGTTTTAGTAGTCATCGCGCGGGAAAATTAAACAATTCAAAATGGCCACTATCGAAATTTTCCCGGGCGATGACTACCAAGACCAGCATTCCTCGCGGGCATCAAGCCTTGTGACGTCATTATGCATGAGGTCTATTCGACTGGGCTTTGCATTCATATATAAAAACCAGAAGAGCGAGTGAAAACATGACTAACATAATCTGATTAATATAACCAGGAAGTCCTGATCAAACAACAACTAGACCATAGTAGGAAAAAGCTTAAAATAACCAGGAAATTTAACCAGTTAAGATAACCCAAATAAGAGAGTAAAGATACCAAGTGCAGTATAACACACAAAAATACTCAGTATGACGTCATGTCCAGTAATTTCGACAACACTAAAATTTCATCTATTCTGTTTAGGGCTACTCAACATCAGAAATCTGGTATGCAGTCTTGGATGATGGCACAAATTACTGTAACTTACATAATCTCATCACAGGTAATTATGACTTCTGTGTTTGCTTGTGTGTTTCTCTGTCAGCAAGATAAAAACAACTATCAAACAGTGCAAGGCAATGGCCAAGGACAACTGGATTAAATGTTGGTTCAATTTGCATGAAATGTGAATAATTTACAAATGTTTGTCTTTCCTAGCTAAAAAGAACCGAATGCGTATAATTAGTGCCCAATTTCATTTCCTGCCGGAGGCGCGCAGTCTGTGAGTGCTCTCTGGTTAACATGATCATTTGATTAGCAAACATTTTGTTCTCTCTTTATGCACATGGGTAGAAGAGACAAAAATCATCCACGCGTAAAGGCCATGGCCGCCAAGAGGAGATGGAGGGATTTGCCCCCAGGACCCCAACTCAAAAGGGCCCCAAAGTGACGAACCCCCTTAGAAGTTCTTGGCGGCCATGGCTTGGAAGCGGGCAAGTTAAATTAATTGATAGAAATTATTGCAGATTGATACTTTACCATTACTTTTTGTTTTAGGTTCTAGTTTGGATAAAGCACCTGGTTATAAGGAGGTAACCGACAACAGTGAATGCACTCAATACACCTCAGCAAATTGTGACAAGTATTAAATAATGAATAATACACGGTTGGTGAATATACAGTAATATGATCACACGGTTCATTCTCATTGATGTTAATTTTTTATTATAATCATTGATGTTTTAACTAACGTACGAATATAATGGGGTGCACAAATTATATGGATTTAATGACGAATATTATGAAAAGATATTTTAATTAGCTTATAGGATGAACATACTGTAACACCTACGATTGTACGCCATGCAAAATTTTGACATTCACAGTAAATAATAAAATTAATAATCTTTTAATTACTGAATAGAAGTACTTAATAAAGTAAGAATTTCGTTGTTATCATAGTGATTGTCGCGCCTTTGTAAATGGCAAATACCTGTACCTACAGTAGAGCACTGTAAAATTTCACTGCGAAAATCAATTATTGTTGAAAAAGTTCTACTGTAGTACTTAGCTAATTTACTCACTTCTCGCGTCTTGAAATGCAGGCGTTTTATCCAAGACGTAAAAGTTTGTAATTCCCCGTTGTAAGCAGACCGTAGGCTTATGAATCTCATTCTATGAATAGCCGTCATTGTTACGTTGCCGTCCCACATCGTAAGGTCTCTATTATTCCAACTGGTTGCAAATATGTTCATTAACATTACGTTATTTAGCCAGCAATGTTCCAACAACTTTTTGGGCTGTGTATGTTGCTTGAGAGAGAATGTCTATACTGGCCCAGTGTTCTTTAACAGAGGCAATCCATGCACTCTTTCTTAAAACTCACCTCTTTTTTCACCTCAGCATTTTGCCTACCGCTGACCAACGCAGTGGCGACGACTGGGTATTTTTAAGACCCAATATTAGTGACTGACTGATTGTGCCACAATCAGAAATTACCGATTACCATTTATTCATGTACAATCTACCATTTTATAATGACGTCATAATGTCAGTTGACCGAGTAAAGGTGACGTCATTCATTTCGAATTTTAAGGATAATTTCCAACGTAACACGTTACTGCAACCAAAGTTCGTCATACACGGCACGCTTCACGCATAATGCGCAATGTATATAATTTTAAAGAGCGTATTTTCTCAACAATCGGTTTTACACGATCAGAAATACAGATAATTCTACCGATTCCGATTGTCTACCGATACGGCAAACGTCGGCCCGACACCGATTATCGGTCAATCAGTACCCAATGCATCCAGCAATTTGGGTCCGTTTGAACATTAAGTTCGGTAAGGCTGCCTGATGTGGCAACAGGTTGGACTTCAGATTGTTGGAGTAACAATGTTAGACGATGTTCGCCTGGTTTCATCGAATCCTTATACACACATTGAAGAAATTAATTTCCATTTTTTTACGTCATTTTTAACTCCTCAATTCTATTTATTGTTTTAACATTTGCTTATGATAAAAATTTCGAATTATAAGCCCCTTGTTGCTTCGAGTGAGACCGCCTGCATAGGGATGTGATCATGTGAATCGATTTTGTTGTTTCTGCTTAAGCGTTAATCTCGTGTTTTGAAAAATGTTAATGAATACTATATTTACGATGTGAACTTTTTACTCATTATTTATTTAATGAACTTTGGTTGCTTATTGAATATCAGATTACTACGCAATGGCTTCAAACATAAAAGTTATTAATGTCTGTGTATATGCATGGAAGTGGTATAATCCTAATTTTATGACTATATTATAAAAATCGTAATTATATATTATGAATACTGTACATTACTGCAGTAAAATATGCAAGGTTAAAAGCACTTTACAATTTGTTATCAGTTTGTTTTGAAGTAGAATAACCAAGTAGCTTTTATAAACTCATTAATGATTAAGAACATTCAAAGTCAAGCGTTTTTGGTCTATTGAAGACAGCTGCAATTACATAGCTATAAAATATCAAAGATCAGAGCTGCGACTTTGTTTACAGTCCTTGCTGGCAAACGTTTGTACAATTGCGATTATTGGCTGCTAAACTAAATCATTTTTTGTGAGTATATCATCCTGCATTTAATCTTTGGATCAGCTTTCATTTCCAATCAGTTCCTTGCTGTGTGTATTTTCAAGTGGAGTAAATTTGTACAGCAATGTTGGATTCTATTGACAAATTATCTCAGACATATGGGACAGCAGCTGGAGCCGGCAAATCATCCAAACATGGAGGAAAAAAACACACATTGAGTAAAGTAGACAAAATGGATGCCGCTATTTATCAAATGATTGATCCGAACAAGGAGAAATACCGACAAGGAGCAACTAGCGTAATTATCGCTTTGAATGTGTTTGTCATCTTGGTGGCTATCGTGACGAAAGACATTACTTTGGCAATAATAGTTCCAGCAGTATGGTTCTTAAGTCCTTGGTAAAACATTCAGAACGTCCGAATTCTATAGCTTCTTGCGAATTCCAGTTGTTGACATTTACAATACGAATAAAGTAATTATTGGTTTTGACCGTTGTTAAATAGCGCTTGCTGTTATATATTTTAAGCTGTTTTACTCAGCAGCATATTCAATAAATCATTGTCGGACTTTATTAACATTTTAGGCTTTAGCTGCTTCATTCTACCTGTACACGTTTTAAATGAATGGATATAGACGTCAAGAACGGGGAACATGATCGCGTATACTTTTTTACTGGGCTACTGGAATACTTCCCATTTTTTTCATATTTGAAATGAAAGCACTTCATCATTCAATAACATATTTCGTTAATTCTTTTTGTATTATTTAATGTTAATAACATGTACATTAGTTAACTGCGTTTTGTCGTTGTTTTGCGTTTTTTCAGATGAATATTGAATCTTTTGCAGGAAAACGCAAATAATGTCGTATACTGAACGTAATTAATTATATATGCAATTTTCTTAACCGCAGTCGTTGAAACTTGAAACATAAAAAACTACGGCCAGCTGATGTCTACCCATGGGTTTTATGCGATCAATCCAATTTGACAACAGTAACATATAAAATTAACATCTTCATATGTAAAAAAGAGTGTACGGTACCAGAAGTATGCAATATCCTGCTTGTATAATTATAATAAAATATCCACCCAATATTGGCATACCTTGCACAATGTAAAACATTGTTGAAATCTGCTATGTAGTGCCGTAGCTTGGACTTTTTGAGTTTGTGTGTGAGGTGTGGCTTTAATTCTAAAAACGAACTTTAATCCGGTACTTTATCACTTCCTGTATGCTAAGGAAAAATAGCAATACTTAACTACACAATACTGAACGAATGTACTATAAAGCTTGAAAAAATAGCAATCCTTCAGGGAGTAGCGACAATGACGGATTGCAGTATTTATTTATTGAAATTTTCTTGGAATGAGACAAATGACGGATTGCAGTATTTATTTATTGAAATTTTCTTGGAATGAGACAGTTATATCATTGTAAGTTGGATGATTGGAATGAGACAGTATCAATTGTTGCTGCCAGGAATCAAATGAAGATATTTGCATTAATTATAGATGCAAGGAAGCAGAACTATTTAAGCAACCTCCAAGGTGATTGAAGGCACCAGAAAATTGATTAATGCAGAAAGAAATGGCATTTCAAAACCAACTATCAGGATTTTATCTCACTCAATAATATTTAAGCAACCTCCAAGGTGATTGAAGGCACCAGAAAATTGATTAATGCAGAATGAAATGGCATTTCAAAACCAACTATCAGGATTATATCTCACTCGATAATGTTTAAGCAACCTCCAAGGTGATTGAAGGCACCAGAAAATTGATTAATGCAGAAAGAAATGGCATTTCAAAACCAACTATCAGGATTCTGGGCATCTCACTCAATAGAACTGATTGTTGAACGGTTTTGTTGATGTGTAATTATAGGGTGAGGCGGTACCGATGTTTTTTGAAAACCGAAATACTCGATGTTACTTTTGGAGGAAAACCGAAAAAAACGGGGGGAAACGAAAACAAATCGGTATTTTACTAAAATAAAACCATACTTATACGAGTTTGTTGCAAATGAATCAAGTTTTGGCATTTACACACGAAAAACAAAAGAGATTTTGTTTGAAATTTGACAACGTCTTCAAAATACCTTACGTTTAATATCTAGCGTGAGTACTGAGTAGCGTGTTGTGTCTTTTTTACCGTAGTTTCGTTATAAAAAACCGGTTCACTCGGTTTTTTTGGGGTTTTTTGGTCGGTTTTCGTTTTTTTGTAGAAAGCGCCTCACGCAATGTGTAAATTTTTATACATTTATTAGACGTAACCAAGAGCAGTTGCGACAACAACATCCTCCCTGACAGGAAACGAACCCGCGGCCCTGTGATTCCGGTACAGCGCTCTAACCACCACCGTAGTATTTATACACGAACTTGTGGTTATAGAGCTCAAGAACAGTCTCTCTGTAGCTCAGATGGGGGAACTTAACCAGTTGTGACGTCACGATTCTAGTGGGTCCGGGGGCATGCTCCCCCCTGAATAAAAGTTTGAATTTTAGGTCCCTCAAACTGTATTGTAAATGCACTTAGAGAAAAATGTTTAGGCCTTAATAAATCACTTTTTAACAGGGTGAACCCACTGCGTTCAATTCATCAGATTTGAACGAATGAAAAACTACACTCTTTTGGTTCGAACCGAAAGATTAGAGCACATAAGGCGAGTAAGATAAAAATACATTTTAACATTTACAAGTTTCCTATGAGACAGATTTTGGTTAAATGTCTCAAATGAATCGGTTTTATACTGGCTATCAACTAAACCTGGAGTAAATGACTATCATCTCCAAAAATAATAAAAAATAATAATAATAATAGAACAGTTTTAGGAGATCCTACAAAGTCTCGACGCTCTTATAGTAGGTAATTGTAAAATAATATAATAATATAATACTATAACTAAGACTAAGACTAAAGAATAATATGATCTAAGACTAAGTAGATTTAAGTTAGATAGATCAGAAAGAAAGAAATATACTTTAAAACTCAGTTACAATTAATTTCGAATGATTATCTATCAGTTTTTTTCTTGTTCGAGCCTACAGCCGTCGAGAGCATGCTCTCGACCCAGTCTTTTCTCTCGGCCGGAAACTTCGTTACTAATTAATTATGTCATAAATTGACAAAAATAATATGCTTCTCAACAGCTTCTGTGGATGAGAAAGGCGTCTCGCAATTAGACTATCTCCTTGAAGAAACGCTAAAGTGTTCAATTATGGATAAAGTTATTAAGATCAACTGACCAAGCTGCATCTAGCTATCTTAAATTTAATTAGTAATAAAAGTCAACTTGTAAGACCATGTGTTCGACGTTAATGTCTACATAATTTTCAATTTATTCAAACGCCATAAAATATTTAAGAATTTTTTAATATATTTTTTCAATCCAGAGTTGTTGAACAGGCGGGGAAATTGAGGCACGCTTCGCTTTAAACTGAAAGCCTGTCCGAGTTGGTGTCAGGCTTGTTGCTACACAAATACAAATCTAATCATCTGGTTCTGAAGATTTTTTCCTCCCTAATTAAGTATATTTTATTCTAGTCTGGTTCCAGCTGACGAGTTCTGCCGCTTAAAACTGTTTTTCTTCAACATCGAAATTTACGAAATTTACAAGGGAAAAACCTTGTTGACTTCGCAATTGGAGTTGATTCCACCAGTCTATACAGACTTTACATGTGTTGCATATTTAAAGTAAACTCAGTTGAGTGTTTTTGTCAGTGAAACGAATATAACTGGAACGCGACCTCCCAGATAAACTGTCTATATAGTATGCCATTTTAATAAGAAAAAAGTAAAGTTTACCAGGAAGTTTTACCTGAATAAATGCATTAAAAGTTTGGCAAATTTCTGGTTGGAGCTATAGCGTTCCAGTTATATTCATTTGACTGGTTAGTAGAGTGTTTTCGTTCAGCAGATAATTTTGTGAAAATTTCCAAGGAAATAAGAAAGAAGGCAAAAACTTCCATGGCCTTGCCTTTGACGTCCCCAATCGAGTTGTATTCATCACGTACCGTTCAGCCAAGCAAGCTGAAAAAAGTTCGTATATTATATACGCATATCATAATTGCATGATCAAACAGCATATAAAATGAAGCATTCTACAAAACTTTAATTTCCCTTGTGCTGCATGGTATTAATTTTCCTTTAGAGACAAATGACTCTAATGACTCTCTAGAGAAATGAAGAAGCTTTAAATAAGTACACCCTGATACTGCACACTGATCTTAAATGAAGCCTGGATAGCGTAAGGCATTGTATGTTACTACATTGTACGGTAGGAAACCTAGCCAAGAAACGTATCTCCTTTATTTTCTAAAGTTTAATTTAGAACAACAAAAAAAACTATAGGTTTTGGGGGGCGTAAAAAGCATTCCAGCGATGTTAACATATATTTCTAGCATAATTGATTATCTTGATAACACCATATTTTTGACACAACTTGTAGTCAATTCACTATTAACAATAACAGTTATAAAAACCTTCAAATTTTTTTAAAAACTGGACTATCGAATTTGAAAATGTTACAAATTTAAAGAACTACGTCTCAATTGATCAGATTATTTTAACATAGTGTTTTGAAAGTTTCAAATATGAGAGGTGGAAGTTTGGCCAAGACTTTGTATATCTCTGGTCATTTATGTTTATCTGAAACATTTATATATCTTTCTGCATGCTGCACATTAGTTTTCTAATTTCCATTTCTCATATCGATGTATTTAAGTCTCATAAATTGACATGTGTTAGTAGTCAGTTTTCTGCTGTTCACAAGAAGCCAGCAGCGAGTGAAGCATTTTCCGACATTGACATTGTATACCAGGTAAAGTTCGATCTAGATTTCATATTTATATAAAGTAGAAACTTAGTATACTAAATAGACAAACCCAGTTTTATAAATCATTTCATCATTGCATGCGTGCTTATTTCAACTGCATTTGCCTATCTTCAGTAACAGAGGGCTTATCCTCGAAACGTCGCGAGGGGAGGTTTTTCTGTTTAGATTCAGTGATATTGTAAAACTTGTAAAATAATCCATAGCGGGTGTGAGAATTGTCGCGGGCTCGAAACCTTGGTCAGTGGTATTACCCGCAAAATCTGCCATATTTTTGGTTTGACTTCGTTGCCGGACTGACGACAGCTATAGGAGCACATCCTCTTTTTATTATAGTGAGATTTACATTTGAGATTGGTTAGTCTGGTAGATTAAACGCATCTGATTGGTTATTGGTCTTTTAGCGATAGTGGGTCAAATCCAAACCTCGCTATTGTACAGCTCAGTGGAAGGTATTCTTGTGGAAACGTACAAGTTGTGCTGATAATAAAGTGTAATATATTTTAAACTCATTAATAATTCATCGCCAACAAACTCATCATATGGATCGTTTTTTAAGCCATTTAATTAAAACACTCACAGCCGACGTGTTTATCAGACATAAATAGTTTATTTTAAATAATACAAAATGCATATAAAAATATTAACTAGCCTATATTGAGAGAATTGAAAAGTGTGACTACGAAGTCAATACACGAAGAATTAAAATACATGCAGCAGCTAGCCAACCATGTTAGAATTTGTCTGACTAGTGTGATATTCTTATCTATTCCTTAGGATCAAGTTTTGAAGTGATGTTGTCGAACAATAGTGCTATGTATAATGACAAAAATCAAACAGGGACGAGTCTATCACCTACATGGACGGAAAGTTGGAACATAAGTATAACACACACAATAGATGATCGGACAGAATATTTGGTATTTCTGGGGCAGGTTAATTTGGCAGAGAAAATTATATTAATTATTTTCGCTATTTTCACAATTCTGGGCAACAGTTTGGTTTTGGTGGCGACCTGGAGAGAAAGAAATCTTCATCAACCAAATAAATATTTTATTGCTTGTCTGGCCATCGCTGATCTTTTGGTTGGCACTATTTATGAACCATTGAAGGTGTATTACCGTAATCTCGACAAGGAATTGATACGTAGCATGTCTATTCATCTATGTCGTTTTATTGTGTGGATAGATACCTTTGCGTTAACAGCATCTATTTATTCACTGACATTTATCAGTCTTGACCGATTTTTTAAAATCAGGAAGCCACTTCAATATCAATCCAGAATGACATCTTCCAAATCATTGAAAATAATCTTTATCATTTGTTTGATTGCAACTGCCTTTGCCACCTACGCCGCCACTCCTCATTCAGGAAGCAGCTATGGCCTTGTCTGCAGCACCGTCGATGTTAATAAAATGAAAGGATACTATACCTTTCTGGCAGTAAGTGCATTTTTTCTACCCACGGCAGTCATGCTTGTTATGTACGCTCTCATTTTTGTTGCTGTTCATAAACGACAAAAGATGTTGCGAAATGGCGAACTGGGTCAAACCTGCAATGGTCGGAACCAACAAAGTGCCTTTCTTCGAGATCTGAAGACTATTAGAATGTTATTGATTATCGTGGGAGCGTTCACGTTTTGTTGGGGTCCTAACTTTATTTATTTATTGCTTAGGTACTACAATCCATATTTTATTGATATGCGTGGCTGGTCAGTCAGCGATTGGCGTCGGATTATTATAACCGAGTCAGTAGTTTTTGCACTTCCTTATTTTAACAGTATATGTAATCCAATAATTTATGCCTGTATGGACGAAACGTACAGAAAGGCTTTCAAAAATCTGTTTCAGCAAATGATGTGCCGATCAAGCTCAAGAAGACGACAAGCACCTGAGGCAATAGAGCTACGTCCACTGAGAGCTAGATAAATGTTTTCATTAATAATTCATGAGGAAAAGACAAAGCACCTGAGGCAGTAGAGCTACGTCCACTGAGAACTACATAAATATTTTCATTAATAATTCATGAGAAAAAGTAAATCACCCGGCAGGTACAAAACGCAGGTTGCAGGTTGCAGGTTGCAGGTTGGAATTTTGCAGGTTGGGAATTTTGCAGGTTGGCATTTTGCAGGTTGGGGATTTTGCAGGTTGGAATTTTGCAGGTTGCCAGGAATTTTGCAGGTTGATGATGCAAACTTAAAATTACACCACTATAAAGTATTCTAATATAATTTAATTGTTTACTTATTGCAGTCTGACTCCTTGTCGGCACTTTTGCTATCAGTCTATCCTGCTACAATGTTCCTAGCTTCTGCTCTAAGGAGTGGCCATCACCCTTGTGAAAATATTCAAAATGACCAGATTGGCTTGAACCTTCAGGGGGACGGATATTTCGATTGTTGCGAGGAGCCTACATGACGTGGTGGCAGTTCAGAAAATGCCTGAATGAAGTGTCTCTCCTCTGCATCCACTTATGAGAAGTGTACTCAAGGCCCCAATTACCGTATCATTACTCGAGAGTTAGTTAACTTTTAACAACATTCTAGTATAAACGCCGCCAGGTCATGTTGGCACCTCGCAACAATCAAAACATTCGTCTCCCTGTAGGTCCAAGCCAATCTGGTCATTTTGAATGTTTTTTACGGGGGTGTTGGCCACTAGCCTTAGAGCAGAGGCTAGGAACATATGGCAACAGGGTAGGCTGATTAGCTGATATCAAAAGCGCCGACAAGGAGTCAGACTGCAATAAATGCACAACTAAGTTA